TGCTTGGGGGCTTTGTTCCCTTAGCTTACGAAGCAGCTGCAATGGTTCTCTCATGGCCTTCCCAACGAGATCAGTCCTAGGGTTCTGACCCCAATCTCCTAAGTCTGCAGCTTACTGCTTTCTCCTGCCCTTTGCCTGGGGCACAGAATAAAGGGGGAGGGGGAAACTTCAGAAAGAAAAGGAACAAAGATCTTCAGTCTAAACACACAGCACCTCTCAGCTCGCTGGGTCACTGCGGAAGCTGTCAAGGCCTACAGAGCGAGCAAAATTCCAATCCAAGGCATCAGGAAAAAGCCTCGGTCTCCCTTGTGGCATTCCTGGGAAGATCAGCCAAATTCACCTTGGGTGGCTCCCAACAGAGCCCCTCCTCCCTGGCTCGTCTAAACCAATCTGAGCAATCCCACCTGTGCTGCTGGCTTCTCACCAGAGGTCACCTCACTCCTCCTGGTTGCTCAGTTTCCTCTCTCTGCCTCTCTCATCTAGATGATTAAATGGTTGGGTAACAAGGCCCTTCTCTCTGCAGGCTGGCACCCATTCTAACCAGCAGAAAGGCACACCCCCACTGCCACTGGGCACACCTCCACTGCCATTGCTTCTTTTATCGAGGGCAGGTGCTCAAAACATGGAACAGTGGGTTAAGCAGCTGGTTCAAGTCCTGGCTGCCCTGTACTTCCTGGCAGGCAGCAAAACGATGGCCCAAGAACCTGGGTCCCTGCCCACCCACGTGGGAGACCCCGATGGAGTTCCTGGCTCCTGACTTCAGTCTGGCCCAGCCCCAGCCATTATGGCCATCTGGTGAGTGACACAGCAGATGGAAGATATCTCTCTCCCCTTCTCTCTCTGTCACTCTGTCAAATAGATCAATAGATATTTAAAAAAAAAAGATGGTCCAGCTCCCTGCTAATGTGCCTGGGAAAGCAGCAAAATATTCCTAAAGTGCTTGGGCCTCTGCATCCACATGGGAGACCCGGATGAAGCTCTTAGCTTTTGGTTTCAGCCTGGCCCAGACCCAGCCATTGTGCCATTTGGTTAGCGAACCAGCAGATGGAAGATCTCTCTCCCTCTCTCTCTGTAACTCTGCCTTTCAAATACATACAAGTAAGAAAAAAGAAAGACGTGATGAAGAGGCAGGGCCATGGCAACAAAATACATACTCGAGTCACGCACTCCACGGCACTCGTCAGCGCACCGTAGCTCATGGTTTCAAATCCTACAAATGAGGAGAAAATCCTTTCTCCTGCATTACTGCCGAGGCTGCATTGCTTCTGCTCGGTGATGTTCGTCTCCAAGTGCAGGCTTTTTTAGCTCTAGAAAAACAAAATCAACTACTTTGGAAGGCAGCCAGTTTCCCCCAGGCACCGTCCTTTGTGACTTGACAGACTTGAGAAGAACCTGCCGGTCCGAAGGCCTGGCTCATCGGCCTGTCCTCTGGAAAACCGTCCTCGTGCTATTCTTTGCAGACTGTATAATTAAGATTGTTTTCCCATAACCGAGCTAACGATATTTTTCCACTTCCTGGGCAAATGGTCTTTCCACAGAATTCCAGATACACACAGATGCTCACAGTGACGACACAACTCTTCTGTGTTGCATTAACTGTGGTACTGTCACAGCCCTAGATGACCTGAAACACAAAGTTGTCTAACGTGGGTGTCGTCACCGGTGAGGGCAGAGCGGGGTCTCAGGAACGGGGTGGTCGGGCATAAGACCCAGGGGGTCACAGCGTGGGGGTGCTGCTGCTCTGGGCGAAGCCCTCTGCGGGAGACACGGCTGTGGAACGTGCAGGCAGGGTGTGGGGATCCTAGCTGGCTAGCTGTTGGGGAAGTTTTGCTTTTGGAAAGCAGGAAACGTGGAGCTCGGGGTGAAAGGAAGCAGGGATGCAGAGCTCCCTGCAAAGCCCTAGAAGCAGGAAACAAGGTAAAGGCAATGGGAAGTTGCTCCGCTAGTCCCTGGGGCGGGCCCGCGGTCAGGGTCAGGCTGCTGGGGCAGGGAGTGTAAGAACACGGCTGAGGCCACACAAGGGGGCAGCTTCAGAAAGCACACTGCGCGCCGGAGGATGCAGCTGGAGCCAGATGGACACACAGAGAAATCCAGACCCCTGACACCAGGGAGAGCAAAGGAAAAGCTGTCCTATACCTGGGATGGGACACACAACCGAAGCAGTCAGGTGGATTGTGGCTTCCCTACAGAGACTTAAAGCCAGAACTGGAGCTGCTACTCAGAGCACAAGAGGCCCCCCGTGTCTAGGTGGCCAGGACCCAGCCACAGCACTTGCTTACTGGGCCTGCAATGAGCACGCTATGAACTGTGGCCCCCAAAATTCATACTGGGGGGATCTGTAGGCAGCCCGAAGCCCCAAGGCAATGGTATTTGGAGGTATGGTCTTTGGGAGGGGATCAGGGTTAGTTGAGGCCATGAGGGTATGGTCCTCCAGACAAGACCAGTGCCCTCGGCTTCTGCCACATTGTCACCTTCCCCCTGGATGGCTGCCAGCTCAAACACGAGACAACCGCCTCTTGGCCTAACCATGTTCCACGTGCAATATGTAGGACACACTGACACAGAAGCTTCTCAACTCACGATGGAGCTACACCCCAAACCCAACCGAAGCTGAAAATATCATAAATCAAAAATGCGTCCCAGACGCCCAGCGTATTGACCATCACAGCCCTGCGGAACCCCTGTTCTTTTGCCTTGTGTCTGGGAGGCTGGCAGGGAGCTGCCCAGCACCGTGAGAGACTATTGTGTCACAACTCAAGAGCCTGAGCAAGGTTTCCATTGACTGTAATCAGGGATCATCCTAACTGTCCCCCAGCACCATGGGACTGAACCTACCTGAGACTCCTGTGTCCTGCTCCTGGGGACGGTAGCCATGTCCCTGACACTCAAGGTTCCAGTCCAGACACCAGAGCCGCTCCTGTCCTACTGCGATTGCTCATCTGTCTGGAGTCCCAAGAGCCATGCATTCTGCCCTCTGCTGTGACCCTCTGCCGCCAGCCCAGCAGACAGGTCTGGTGCCAGCCTGTCCCCTGGGGGGAGTCCACCCCGCTGCCCCCGCCTGCCTCCAGAAAACCCCAGACCTGCTGAGGACTCGGGGGCTCTGTGTGTCCTGCTATTTCCCACTAGACTGTGACCCCAAAGGGCAGCGGTAATTGCTCAGTGATGCCATCTAGTGTGACGCTTCAGACCTCACAGGCACTTAACAAACGACTGTTGACCTCGGAGTGAAAGACAGTAACTCAAAGGCCTGCACTGCGGGACGATCTGCAGACAAGAGAATAAAAGCTATGGGGGCCAAGCAATACCCCGAGTCAGACGGAAGAGGGCGGACGGGAGACCTTGCAGCTGTAACGACCTCCTCTCGGTGTATTTTGTCCCTAGATTTTCTCAAATAGAAGTCAGATCACCCGTGTCCCTGTAATGGCGCTGATTTGAACTGTGGGGGCAGAGACTCGGCAGAAGTCAAGTCCCTCGGAAATCCTCTGTGCCCCACACTGAGGCTGGCACAGGAGCCTGGGGTGCCCGGTGATGGAGCTGGCTTGGAAGGCGTCCACTGGAGGACCATGTAGGCACGATGAGGTCCCATGGGGGCAACTTTGTCAGGAACCATGCTTTTCATTCTGCTTTCAGAATCTCGGCACTTTCGGACATACTCTTTCTTTTTGTTAACATTTATTTACTTATGTGAAAGAGTGACAGAGAGAGGGGGAAGGAAAGGAGGGAGGGAGAGAGAGAGAGAGAGCTTCCATCCACTGATTCATTCCCCAAATGCTCACAAGGGCTGGGCTGGGGCAAAAGTAGGAGCCAGGAACTCCATCCAGGTCTTCCGCACGGGTGGTAGGAAACCAAGTCCTTGAGCCATCGCCTGCTGCCTCCCTGGCGCATTAGCAGGAAGCTGGATTAGAAGCAGAGGGAGGTCTCGATTCCAAGTATCCCAATCTGAGATGCAGGCGTTCCGGGTGGAGGCTTAACCTGATGTGCCACCGTACCTACCTCTCTGTGTTCTTTAGAGATGAACACAATATCATTAAACAGGGTCAGGCATGTAGACTGGCGGTTAAGATGTCAGTTCGCACGCCTGCATCCCACATTGTAGTGCCTGGGTTCAAAGCTCCACTCCAGATCCTGACTCTAGCTTCCTGCTGGCACAGATCCTGGGAGGCAATGTGATGGCTCACATAATCAATCAATCAATCTGTCTATCACCTATCATGGATGCATTCCTTCTGTCACTGAATAACTCCAAGCACCCTGTACCTGCTGGGCACCATGCTCACGCCAAGGACACAATGAGTCATTTTCCTCCACCATATCTTCTTCCCTTTGGCTGTTTGGATTACAACCAAAACCTCAACACTTATCACCAGTTCCACCAAGCATTTTCTTGTTATAACAGCTTGGCCTGTGGACCACCGGGGAAAAGGACCCAAATCAAAATACCCCAACATGATGTGACTGCAGGTACTCACTCCCCTCTGATGTGGAGCGATGAGTTTAGGAATTCTAAGAACAGGAAGAGGTGAAATGATTTTATTAAGCCACAGAGGCTGCCCACTGCAGAGCTCTGAGTGAAACAGTTTACAATCTTTTTAAGGTTCTCTAATAAAGGAGCAGGACACAGCCTGTGGGGATAGGCCCCCCGCCCCCCCTCAGTGACTGCGGTCATCTCTTTAATATGTCGTTGCTAGAAACCGTTCTTCTATTCTAGCGAACTATCACCAATAAGGCAGTGCAGCTATTTTAAAAATTACAAGTGAAAGTTAATTATGTAAAGTGACTATCAAGGCACTCTAAATTAACATTCATATTCTTGAACAAATGAGAACATTCAAATTATTGCATTATATATAACTATGTAATGGCCTGCATTTAAATATTTCTGATTCTGAATTATTCCCCTTTACAAAATTATTACTTTGATAAGATGAATACAAGGGATGTCCCAATTACTCCAGGGATCGCAGACAGAATATTTAAAAATTTAATTAAATGAAACTTACTGTGTACTCTGTTTCCAGGTGTTCATTTGGACAAGAGGAGGGGAAAGGAAAAAAAAAAAGAGAGAGAGAAAATGATGATTTAGACTATGCTTACACACAACACAAAACCACAGTCCTACCAAATACTGGCGAATTAGAATTACTACAAATGTGGCAAATAAGCTTCCCAGAAATTAAACTTTCATCTACACTGAATGTCTCTCCACTGTTCTGGTGCTCTTCAGGGCGAGACTTCTGCGGTTGCACGATGAGGCGGGAAGGCGAGATTCAATTAGCCTATAGGTTTGCGGCTAATTAAAATCCAAGGAGTTGGCATTATAAAAGCAGAATTAAAGACTCATAATTCCAGTCAAGCATGTCATTAACCACAAAGGCAATCTTTTAAGTGGAAAAGCAGATTTCATAGCCAATAAAAAGGACCTCTTTTGATGTTGCTGGAGTGGGATCTCAACTTTTTATGTGTTCAGGAAAGGAACCAAACCATTCTACATTTTTTGGGGGTGGGGGGTGCTGTTCCTAGTGCAGAGTTTGGTGTAGAGCATTTATTATCTTTGCCTTAAAGATCTCCTTATCATCTCTGATTAGGGCAGAGAAAGCCAACAGTCTTTTAAACAAATTAGAATTAAAATTAAAAAACAATGGGGGTGGGGCTGTGAAGCAAAGTAGTCAAATTAAACAAGTTGTTTACAGACAAATCACACCCCCAAATTTCTTGGGAGGTACTGGGGCATCAGGGGAGAATAAAGATAACAGGCTCTCTAGAAACGTCACTAACAGATCTTCCCTTGCTTCTCTACTACTTCTAGAAAAAGTACGGTGCACTGGCTGCCCCAGCTTAACCCAACCCCCACTTCCTCTGTGCCTCCCAAGCCTCAGTGTGGGGGCTGAGTACCCAGGACGTGGAACTATGAAAGCAAAAGGTAGGGGAGCTATGACAGGGTTCCCACAAGGCCTTGCCTGGATGCTCAGCCCAAGTCTGTGACATGCCACTACTGCTATGTCCAGGCGTGCTGGCCGGACCAAAAACTCACCTGTGATGGTATAGGGATAATAGTTCCAAGCCTTCTCTGTGACATAAAATATCTTGGGGACAACAGCTCTGGCCCAACTAGGAAGTTTGCTAGGAAGAAAAAAAAAAGAAAGAAAGAAAAAGAAAATTAAAGTCCATTCAGAGTTTCACCCTGTTACTACATGTTTCTGGATTGCTATGGAGAGTAGAGGAATTCTCAGCATCTCTTCCTCTTCTCTCCAGTGTTTACCGGGGTTAACCATTTCCTGTGCACATTCCCCTGCTTGCAAAATGTGTCAAGGCAGAAGGTGCAAAGGTGTGAAGGTGGGGGCCTCCCTGGGACCAGACACCAGTTCTCCTTGGTTGGGTTTGCAAGGACAAGAGAATTCAGCACCTGAGAGGTGCCATATTAGGATGGTTTGGCCAGCTTGGCCTCTGCCTCCCCAGAGTGGCAACAGTAGAATAAAGGGATATTTATGGGGGGGAGGGGACAAAAACTAATATTACAGACAGGCTTCAGCCTAGCAACTCAGACATTTAAAAATGTTTATTTATTCAAAAGGCAAAGAGAGCAATATCCAGCATCCTCTGGGCCACTCCCACAGACGCCTGCAGCAGCCAAGCTAGTCCAGGCTGAAGCCAGGAGTCAGGAACTCCACGTGGGTCACGCATGTGGGTGGAAGGAACTCAAGGCCTTGCAAGGTCATCATCTGCTGCCTCCCAGGGTGTGCATTAGCAGGAAGCTGGATCAGAACTGGAGGCAGAGCCTGAGCCCAGAAACTCTGATATGGGATGTGGACTTCCCAGGCAAGCCACTACCACAATGCCTGCCCCACGAGTGGCAATTTGAAAATGGACAAGAGCAATAAGGATTAGGAACTTAGATATAGGAAGAGGAATTGAATATAGCTCCTTGACCACTGTAGTGGGTTGAACTGTGTCCCCTCAAAAAGCTAAGTCCGTATCTTTACCTTATTTGAAAATAAAGTGCTGGCAGATGTAATTAAGTTCAGGATTTTAAGATGAAATCATCCTGGATTTAGGGTTTGCAGAGGAAGGGATGGGTGGGGCCCAGAGACACACTCAGGGGAAGATGCAAGCAGAAATGCAGCAAAGCCGCTTCAAGGTCAGGAGCACTCAGGGTTGCTACAGGTGCCGTAGCCAGCGCTTCCAACACCTTGGTGGCCGACTTGTGGGCTCCAGACCACGACAGGATACAGTGGGGTTCAGTAAGGTGCCTGGTGTGTGGCGATTTGTTTTGGCGGTCCTAGGATGCTGGCACAGCCACAGGGCCATCCCTCAGGGACAAAGGCCTGCCAGGCCATCTGCAGAAAACCAATTCCCCAAAGGCACAGGTCCAAGGTCTTCTATAAAGCCAATGCTAATGGAGTTTTGCTTTGCCTTCTCTCAGAGACAACCCTGTTGTGCGGCATGGGCCCAGAGAATTTCGTACATATTGTGCTTCAATATGAAACACTACCCATCCCTTACAGCTGTCTGCAAGGTTTCCTCTAGCACAGGGGTTCTGTCTCTCCAGAAGCTGCCATCTGGCTTCTTTCCAACTCTGGTGCCTACAGGAGTTGTCTAGGAGGCGCATGTAGCTCAGACCCAGGGGACCACACGGACTGAGCCCTCTGGGGCTGCAGGGTGGCGATGAAGGGCATCAAGAAGCAGCTGGGACTTTGGTGCAGTAAAGACACCACCAACGACGTCACATCCCATAGCAGAGTGTCTGGGTTTCAGTCCAGGCTCCACTTCAGATTCCAGCTCCCGGGGCCGGCTCCGTGGCACAGTAGGTTAATCCTCTGTCTGCGGCGCCGGCATCCCATAGGGGCGCCAGTTCTAGTCCCAGCTTCTCCTCTTCCAATCCAGCTCTCTGCTGTGGCCTGGGGAAAGCAGTAGAGGATGGTCCAAGTCCTTGGGCCCCTGCACCCGCATGGGAGACCTGGAAGAAGCTCCTGGCTTCAGACTGGTGCAGCTCCGTCCGTTGTGTCCATTTGGGGAGTGAACCAACGGACAGGTGACCTTTCTCTCTGTCTCTCCCTCTCACTGTCTGTAACTTCTCCCTCTCAAGTAAATAAATAAATAAATAAAATCTTTTAAAAAAAAGAATTCCAGCTCTCAGCTAATGCACCCTGGGAGGCAGCAGGTGATGGGTGAAGTGCTTGGGCCCCTGCCACCCACATGGGAAACCTGGATGGAACTCCTGGCTCCTGGCTTCTGCCTGGCCCAACCCTGGCTGTTGTGGGCATTTGGGGAGTGAACCAGTGGATGGAAGATCCCCATCTGAGACTCTGCCTTTCAAACAAAATGAACACAAATAAATAAAACAATCTTAAAAGCAGCAGCTCTGAATTCCAAGCGGATGTAAGTAGGAAAGAGGGGACAGCCAGTTACCAGAAGATCGGTTCCCCAACCCCTCCTGAAGGTGGAATTTACATGACACCCGGAGCCAGTGAAACACCACGTGCCTCCTCCTCTTCTCAAATTGTTTCTCTTGTTTCTGACAGTATCCAGGCCCAGCGGTAGAGAAGATAAACGGGTGCCTTCAATGGCTAGCTGGGCCGAATCCACAGCTCTGCTGGTCGGGGAGGGGCGGGGGGGTACAGGGAACTCAGACGCCCTGAGCTGGAGGAGCAGCCCCGGGAGGGCGCTGCTGGCCGTGGGGAGCCGCGGTGGGGCCGAAGCACACCCGGCACGCCTCATCCCTCTCGCGGCTCCGATTCCCACAGAAGGGCCTGCGCAGGAACCGCTTGTGGACGTCCACTCCGCTCAGGTCGGGGCTACTCCCCGGCAGCGGCTCTCAGCGCGTCTGCCGGTGGTGGGTGTGGTGGGTGTTATCAGCCGCCGAGGCTGCAGAGCGACTGCAGGCAACTGTGCTGGCTGGGCTCAGTGTGGTCCCCTCCACGCCAAGGCGAGGGCAGGAAGACGCGGATTCTAGGAGCAGGCAAGTCGTGGTTTTATGCTTTTAATGGATTGCAGTAGGGGCGGAGGCTCTCCCGGAGGTAACAAGGCACCATTGGGCTTTGACAAAGTGCTCACCCCTCCACCAGCCCCATGACCCATCTCCATGGCCTCCTGCGGGGAGACGTCCCACCCACACCCTACACAGCCTCCAGGCTCGCATTGCCTCCAGCTCTGGGGTGCAAGACCCTCTCTTCCTCCTATAACCCATTCATTCCCTGTTGCATGCGATAAAATCTCCCAGCCACAGCCACATCGCTAATCAACAGTTGTTTTCTCAATGGGGCTGTGTGGGAGGACTCAGGGAGAGGCTGGGACTTTGGGCAGTCACTGGGGGAGGCTCCACACAATCTGGGCTCCCTGGTTACCTGGCGAGGGACACTGCTGGAGAATCTGAGCTTATAGTGAGGACTGCACAGATCCTTTGTGTGGTCCTTGTGGCAGAGTGGACAAATACACCCACTGGGGCTGGCGCCCAGGCACTAGTCTCCTTTGAAGAGAGGATTTCAGCTGAGTCTAGCCAACAGACTAGAACAAACCTCCACTTTGATTAAAGAAGGAAGGAAGGAAGGAAGGAAGGAAGGAAGGAAGGAAGGAAGGAAGGAAGGAAGGAAGGAAGGAAGATTTACCACAAACCTGGGTGTGTCACCTCAGACACACCCTTCACCCTGGAGCATTGAACAGAGCTCCCTGGCCACACCCACCACACACCCCTAGGTATTCACTCAGATGTAGTCCAAAGATAAAAGCCACCACAGGAAAGAGAAAGAAAGAAGGAAGGAAGGAAGGAAGGAAGGAAGGAAGGAAGGAAGGAAGGAAGGAAGGAAGGAAACAAACCAACTATCCCCACAAATGGCAAATAACAAAAGCACCAATCCAAGAAATAAGAACAAGGAAGACGACATGATGCCCCCAAATACACAACACTTTGATACTAGATTGTGAAGATGATGAGATTGAAGAAATGCCAGAAATGGAATTCAAAAAGTTCATCATAGGAAGCAAATGCACGAGCTAATGAAATTCATACATGACATGAAAGAAAATTTCTCCCACAAAATTGAGAGCTTAAAGAGAAATAAATATGAAATCTTAGAAATGAAGAATTCAATAGAACAAATAAAAAATGCAGTGGAAGGCCTTAACGGAATCAGTGAAGCATAAGAAAGAATATCTGACTTAGAAGACAAAACACAGGAAATTATACAGTCAGACCAAACACAAGAAGAAGAAATTAGAAAACTAAAAAACACTGTTGGTAATCTACAAGATACTATCAAATGACCCCATATATGGGTTCTAAGAGTTCCTGAAGGCATGGAAAGAGAGAAATGTGAAATGATAACAGAAAATTTCTCTAATTTGGAAAAAGAAAGGGATATCCAAATACAGGAAGTAAATAGAATTCCTAATAGACACTAACAGAAAAAGATCTTCACCATAACACATTGTAATCAAACTCTCCACAGTAAAACATAAAGAAAAGATTCTAAAATGTGCATTAAAGAAATGCCAGGCTGGTGCCGCAGCTCACTTGGCTAATCCTCCGCCTGCAGCGCTGGCACCCCAGGTTCTACTCCTATTTGGGGTGCCGGATTCTGTCCTGGTTGATCTCTTCCAGTCCAGCTCTCTGCTGTGGCCCAGGAAGTCAGTGGAGGATGGCCCAAGTGCTTGGGCCCTACACCCACATGGGAGACCAGGAGGAAGCACCTGGCTCTGGCTTTGGATCGGCACAGCACGCTGGCCGTGGCAGCCTTTTGGGCAGTGAACAATGGAAGGAAGACCTTTCTCTCTGTCTCTCTCTCTCACTGTCTAACTCTGTCAAAAAAAAAAAAAAAAAAAAAAAAAAAAAGCCAGATTATGTTCAGAGGATCTCCAATTAGACTCACAGCAGACTTCCCATCAGAAACCCTACAGGCTAGGAGAGAATGGCAAGATATATTTCAATTCTTAAGAGAAAAGAACTGTCAGCTCAGAATACTATACCCTGAAAAGCTCTCATTTATGAACGAAAGTGAAATAAAGACCTTCCATGACAAACAAAAATTGAGAGCATTTGTCACTACCTGTCCAGCCCCGCCGAAGATGCTTAATGATGTGCTGCACACAGAAACACAGAAACATGGTCATTATTACAAAAGAAGGTA